AGGTTTAAGCACTTTTTATGGTAAATGTTGTCCATGGTCTAGATGGTGGTGCTTATCTCTCCCTATGGACATGTAGACAACAAACCTAAACCTTGAGTCGTCTGCATTACATAGCTTTGCTTTACTTTTGGGTTTTCATATAAACATTTGCAAAGAAACTTGGACCAAAAAGCTGCAAGAAACGAGTCTTTGCCCTTGTCTAGATCAAAGAAGGTCATGACAATAAACTGTTCCAACTTTTCTGAAGAGCCTGGTCTTAAACATCTAGGTGTATGAAACAAGAACTGTCATTAAAGGGCTGCAAAGAAGTGAGCCATCATTCCTATTTGAGTATAGTGTATAAAAATTAAAACATTGTTCTAAATTTTAATATCTGATCTGTGTTTAGAGTTCAACTTCTATGGCTGTAATGAAACTAGTGAGGGATATGGCAAATAAAACATAATATACTGTGGGGTTGTTTATTTTTGACAACCTTCAATGCCACAAATGTGGGTACTCAAGCTTCCTTCCACGTTCCAAAAACTTGACTGATAGGTTAATTGGTCTGTCCAAATTGTCCTTAGGTGTGAGTGTGTGTGTGGGCATGATTGTTCTGTGTGTCTGTTTTGCCCTGCGATGGACTGGCTCTCTGTCCAGGATGTACCCCGCCTGATTGCCCATTGACCGCTGGAGATAGGCACCACCATCCTCCCACGTTGACAAGCGGGTTCAGAAAATGCAAGGATGGATGGATGATGGTGTCAGAGAAACAGCACATTCCTGGATGAATAGTTGCCTGAATCAAAGTCATCAGTATGCAGAAACAATGTATTCTGATTGTCTCAAGGTCACCTTTGGTGTACCACGAGAGTCAATCATGGGCCCTAAACAGTTTTTTTTTTTTTTTTTACTTTACATAAACATTGTATAATGTATTGGCCTAGTGGTAGAGTGTCTGCCCTGGGACTGGGAGATCGGGTTCAAATCCTGGTCGGGTCATATCAAACACCTTAACAATGGGACTCAATACTTGACACACTGCTTTAAGGGGTCGGATTGGGGGGGTTAAACCACCAAATAGTTCCAGAGGTATTTTGTGGAAAAAATACCTGACTCTAAAGACAAATTATGTTCAACCACTAGAATGTGAACATTTCCAATTACTGTTTTCACCAACGTCATGTCTACATCGTTCGAGTCTTTTGATGCTTTATTCTTAAATTTATTAACATTATTGGTAATTTCATTTTTAATTGCTGGTTTTAAAACCATTGATGGAGCTCCAATCTCCTTTTCACCTTTTTCACATTATTTACTACTCCCTGATTTTTCAAGTATTTTTGCTAGGTTAGGTCCTATGTTCACAAAAATAAATAAATAAATAAATAAATAAATAAATAAATAAATAAATAAACCACAGAATCCTTCAACTATCTCTTGCATATTATTCATTTCTCTGACATTAGCTGTAAAATAATCCGGATAACTCTTTTTATTTGGTGCCTTTCTAATCAGATTATTTAAAATGTTCCATGTTGCTTTAATGTTATTTGTACTTTTTTGTAGTATCTCATCATAACAGTTCTTTTTAAAGCTTCTCAAAATGTTTGTCAACTTATTTTTATATATTTTATACCTTGTTTCAGCTTCCACAGTTCTCTGACTCAAGAACTTTCTACATAAAGTATTTTTTTCCTGCAAGTGTTTAAGAGCCCCCTTGTCATCCAAGGCTTATCTTTTTTTGTTTTGTTTTGTATTCCACTATTGGACAGTTTTTATCATATAAGTCCTTAAATATGCTAAGAAAATGATCATAAGCTGAGTTAACATTTTCATTATCAAGAACTATTTTCCAATCTTGTTCATCTAGTTCCTTTTTTAGTGCATTCAGGGAATCTTTTCACTCTTATTATTATCATTGTCTTTTGTCTTCTTGCCACCTTTAAAAATAGCAAAAATAGGAAGATGATCACTGATTTCATTTACTAGCAATCCACTGGTAATTTGTTTTTCCATGCAATTTGTAAATATATGATCAATTAATGTAGTGCTATATGTTGTTATTCTGCTAGGCTTTGTTATCAATGGGTGGAGGCTCATAATATATACTGAAACAAAAAATTCATCCGTCTTCTTATGCTCTCTGGGATTCAGCAAGTCGATTTCACCACAAATAAAAGTATCTTTCTTTTTTTGCACAATTGCAAAAAGTTCCTCCATAATCTCTTTAAACTTGTCAATGTTAGAATTTAGTGCTCTGTATATACAGCTAACTATTATATTTTTCACATTTTCCCCTAATAATTTCAATAGTAACACATTCCATTCTATTCTCAACTGCTATAGTCGTTCTTTCTGCCACCTTAAACTTCAGATTTTCATCCACATACATTGCAACTCCTCCTCCATTTTTATTTACCCTATTTTTGCAAACCATTTTGTATCCTTGCTTATTAAAATCCACATCTTTCTCTTCTTTAATCCAAGTTTCAGAAATGGCTATTACTTCAAATACTTTTCTGAAACCCCTTAGGCAGTTTTGAATATTCAGAAAATTAGCGTACAAGCTTCTACTGTAAAAGTGGATTATTGACATACATCGTTCAAACTTATTTAGTACATTTAACTGCTCCTCAGTGTAATATTGACAACTGTTATTCAAAGTATTAAATAAATTATTATCAGGACAAATTTCTTGACCCGGATCAAACATAATTGAGCACAACTGTCACTCATTAGTGGCACAGTAATATGTTTTTTCTTATTAATCTTGTCCTATGTATTTGTCAAGTTCCTCCATACTTTTTATTACAGAACATTGGCTTCTTCAGGTGTACCATTAAGACTATTGAAGACTCTACAGTTTGTTGTCCATGTAGCTAAGATTTTCTTCTGCCTTTGAAGAAATTGGGCTTTTTTTGTAGCTATTTCTGCATTATGTTTTGTCAGATATTCATTTATGTCGACTTCTGTTCCTTTTAGTTTAGGTCGATGTCTCAATAATGCCATCTTGCATTTCCTATTTGTAAACTTAATGATTATATTTGGAGGTTCGTCTGTCTTTTTGCTGAATGGAGAATGACAAGCGTCAGTATCATCCATTTTTACTTCTATTACCTTGGAAAGGAAGAAGGTGATGACTTGTTTTTCCACTGATTGCATCTCTGTGTCCATGGGCGTAATTTTCGGGGGGGACAGGGGGGACATGTCCCCCCAACTTTTTCCAAAGTCAAGTTTGGACCCCTGTACTTTTTACCATCCAAAAACAATATTACACTATATTAAATTGACACTGGTTGAGCTCTAGGACCAAGCAGAAAACAACCGTTTGTGTTGAAGCCTGAGTCCCATTAGAACATACTGTAAAGACCGCCCCCCCCCCGTGTCCCCCCCACCTCTCAAGTGAAAATTACATCCATGTCTGTGTCATTATTCTGCTCATCATTTCTTTTTGACACAGCTTGCGCATAAGACATATAGGCTTTATTTTGAACCCTGAGACAATAACCTCATTCATTCTAGAGATGGGAATACACTTACTCAATGAAGATGGAGTAGTGGATCATAATCTCTGGCTACAGTTTGCATTAATCACTTTATCACAAGTAAGTGTTTACTAAAAGTTTTTTATGGTGTTTTATTGAACAGTTATTTAGAAATGCAGCTACAAAAACAGCAGGTAAACAGTTTGATACTGTTTTCACGTGTCCTCACTGCAAATAGCTTTTAGAGTGCTAATGTTTTTAGCAGATAGCTCAGTGTTTAATGTGGCGTTAATACCTTAATAAATTCAAACAACTGTACAAGAAATTTGGACTTAAAAAGACATAAAATGTTAGTTAGCATTAGATCTTAGCATGTAATCACCATTAGCATTAGCTATCATTGCGAGGTAATTGTGTAATTAAAATGGCATCTCACGAGCATAAACAAGACAACGGTCATTTAAATCTTCTCCGGATCTCTAAATTGTTACCCAACATGAAATAAAATAGTTGTAGGCTTTCAGACTCATAAAGGCTTTTGATTTGCATTGTAATATGAGATTTGCCACATGAGATAGTTTGTTGTGTCGATCGCATCAGTGTTGGGTAAATCCTCCAGCGTTTATGAAAAGTCAGACTTTTAAAATAATATGAGTCATAACCTAAAGGAAGATGCAATTGTTTTTGTAATATCGCGTCTGTCCCAGCTCATTTAGTACACTCACTCTCATTCGTCCCACTGTGTTTTATAGTAAAGCAAAACACTTCCTGTCCACTTTTTGAGTTCAGCGCGACGGCAGGGTCACGTGAGTGGAACCCTGCAATCATCACTTTAGATTAGCACGTGAGACTTCAGTCACCGCTAGACTAATGTTTACCATGACCACTGCAGAGCCAGGAGATGTAAATTTGACATCAACTTCAAAGAGAAAGTGCTGGAAACAAAAAGAGAGCGAAACTGCCAGAAGGAGGGAGAAAAAGGTTAGCACGGAGTTGGACACAAAACTGAATATACTAACCCAGTGTTTTATAGGTTCAAATAGACACAAAATCTTATTTTTATTCATTCTACTGGTAATTTATTTTGCTCAAATTGAAACTGAGGCATGCCTCTAATTCTGGCCTCCTTCTAATAAAGACCGGAACCAGGGTGTGCTTGAGCAAATAAAGACCCAGGCCTGTATTAGAGGATTTACGGTATGTCATTATTTATCTATTTAATACCTTTAACTTGGTTGTTTCACATTTCCTGCTGTCACAACCTGCCTCTCAACCTGTCTGCTCCCCACAAGGTGGGGAAATCCCAGCTCTCTGATTGGCTACCACCATCTCCATGTTTTTGCTGTGTTTGTATTCTGTGAGAAATTCTGCTGCAAGTGGCAGGGAGTATAAAAGTAAAAAAAATCAACCGCTGACTTTATTGGGTTAAAATCACAGACAGTGCTAATGCTAGGACAGTGTGTTATTGTAGAAGTTTTTCCTTCAGTTAAAAAAGCCAGTTCCTATTTCTAGTTGAGAGATGGAAAGCAGCTGAGTGATTGATGACCACAGCTGCAGATTGACACCACCTGGGTCAGTTAGAGCTAAAACGGTGTATAAAAGCAACATGAAGACAACTTCTACTTATGTCTCTGAAACCAGCTAAAAATTAAGGACATCAGGCTCAGCTGAAGAGCTGCTTCAATAATGGGTAATGCACATAACATTTGTTATCATTTGATTGTTTCCTGAGTTTCTCGGCTTCATCATTGGCTGTGTCTGGAAAAGTTGATAAATATTGTTACTTGATTGGAAATAATATTACTTTCATCTCTGACTTTACAGCAAAGGTCTTGATTGTTTACGCCCACCAGAGCTCTGGCTCATTCAACGCTGCAGCCAAAGATCTTGCTGTGGAGGTTCTGACTGCTCAGGGCTGCACTGTAGAAGTCTCTGACCTGTATGCCATGGACTTTAAAGCTGCAGCTACAGTTGATGACATCAAAGGTATGAGCTCCCACAGGAAAACTAGTCCTTGTTTTGACCCAGTCACATCTGATGTACCTTGAGCAGGTTCTGTGAAAGATGCTGACCACTTCTCTTACCTACGGGAGACTAAACTGGCCTTTGAGGAAGGAAGGCTGTCGGAGGACATCACCAAGGAGCATGCTAAAATCATTGAGGCAGATCTGATCATCTTTCAGGTATATAGTATAAAATAGATGCACTGGTCATGTTAACCCTTTAGATCAACTTTACTTTTATTTCAGTTCCCCATGTACTGGTTTGGTCTTCCTGCAATCATGAAGGGCTGGATCGACAGGGTGCTCACAAATGGCTTTGCCTTCTCAACAGAGAAGCTCTACAGCCAGGGAGTCTTCAAGGTGAGGGTCCATCATGAGGTTTGCAGCACATAAGTGGAAAATTATGAACTCAACATTTCTTTCATGCAGGACAAGAAGACCATGTTGTCCTTCACCACTGGGTCTCTTGAATCCATGTTCAGCCCAATTGGCATCAATGGAGACATGAATGTCACCCTGTGGCCAATCCAGGTGTGTGTTGGACCATCTGCATTAAACCAGATCCCAGGTGCTGTGGACTAACATGACCTTGTTCTCTCTGCAGAACGGCATTTTGAACTACTGCGGCTTCCAGGTTCTGGCCCCTCAGATCTTCTGGGCTCCCGCTCTAGCAGCTGCTGAAGATCGTCAAGGCATGCTGGAGGGCTGGCGTACACGACTGCAGGGCCTCCTGGAGGAGAAGCCCCTATCCTTCATCCCTCTGGACTCCTTTGACCAGAAGACCTTCCAGCTGAAGCCTGATGTCCATGAGCAACACGCCAGCAAGGAGTTTGGTCTGACTGTGGGCATCCACATGAACAAGCCTCTGCCCCCCCACAGCCAGATGAAAGCTGGATGCTGAATTGTACTTGAATAAAAGCTGGTTTATTCTGAGCTTGTGTTTGAATGCACCCTCCACATCACTGAACTTGAATTGACAGTATGGGGGGAAAATGATGATCCTGTTACATGTAGGCAGGTTTAAGCATTATTTATGGTAAATGTTGTCCATGGTCTGGATAGTGGTGCTTATCTCTCCCTATGGACATGTAGACAACAAACTTAAACCTTGAGTGGTCTGCATTACATAGCTTTGCTTTACATTTAGGTCATAACATTTGCAAAGAAACTTGGACCAAAAAGCTTACAGAAACGAGTCTTTCCCCTTCTGTCTAGATCAAAGAAGGTCATGACGATGACCTTTTCCATCTTTTCTGAAGAGCCTGGTCTTAAACATCTAGGTGTATGAAACAGAACTGTCATTAAAAGGCTGCAAGAAGTGTGCCAAAATCCAGCCCATCATTCCTATTTGAGTTTAGTGTATGAAAATATTTAAAACATTGTTCTAAATTTTAATATCTGATCTGTGTTAAGAGTTAAATCAACTTCAATGGCTGTAATTAAACTAGTGAGGGACATGGAGAATACAAATACTGTGGGGGGTGTTTGATTTTGACAACCTTCAATGCCACAAATGTGGGTACTCAGACTTCCTCCACGTTCCAAAGACTGTTAGGTTAATTGGTCTGTCCAAATTGTCCTTAGGTGTGTGTGTGTGTGTGGGCATGATTGTTCTGTGTGTCTGTGTTGCCCTGCGATGGACTGGCTCTCTGTCCAGGATGTACCCCGCCTGATTGCCCATTGACCGCTGGAGATAGGCACCACCATCCTCCCACGTGGACAAGCGGGTTCAGAAAATGCAAGGATGGATGGATGATGGTGTCAGAGCAACAGCACATTCCTGGATGAAAAGTTGCCTGAATCAAAGTCATCAGTATGCAGAAACAATGTATTCTGATTGTCTCAAGGTCATCTTTGGTGTACCACGAGAGTCAATCATGGGCCCTAAACAGTTTTTTTTTTTTTACTTTACATAAACATTGTATAATGTATTGGCCTAGTGGTAGAGTGTCTGCCCTGAGACTGGGAGATCGGGTTCAAATCCTGGTCGGGTCATATCAAAGACCTTAACAATGGGACTCAATACTTGACACACAGCTTTAAGGGGTCGGATTGGGGGGGTTAAACCACCAAATAGTTCCAGAGGTATTTTGTGGAAAAAATACCTGACTCTAAAGACAAATTATGTTCAACCACTAGAATGTGAACATTTCCAATTACTGTTTTCACCAACGTCATGTCTACATCGTTCGAGTCTTTTGATGCTTTATTCTTAAATTTATTAACATTATTGGTAATTTCATTTTTAATTGCTGGTTTTAAAACCATTGATGGAGCTCCAATCTCCTTTTCACCTTTTTCACATTATTTACTACTCCCTGATTTTTCAAGTATTTTTGCTAGGTTAGGTCCTATGTTCACAAAAATAAATAAATAAATAAATAAATAAATAAATAAATAAACCACAGAATCCTTCAACTATCTCTTGCATATTATTCATTTCTCTGACATTAGCTGTAAAATAATCCGGATAACTCTTTTTATTTGGTGCCTTTCTAATCAGATTATTTAAAATGTTCCATGTTGCTTTAATGTTATTTGTACTTTTTTGTAGTATCTCATCATAACAGTTCTTTTTAAAGCTTCTCAAAATGTTTGTCAACTTATTTTTATATATTTTATACCTTGTTTCAGCTTCCACAGTTCTCTGACTCAAGAACTTTCTACATAAAGTATTTTTTTCCTGCAAGTGTTTAAGAGCCCCCTTGTCATCCAAGGCTTATCTTTTTTTGTTTTGTTTTGTATTCCACTATTGGACAGTTTTTATCATATAAGTCCTTAAATATGCTAAGAAAATGATCATAAGCTGAGTTAACATTTTCATTATCAAGAACTATTTTCCAATCTTGTTCATCTAGTTCCTTTTTTAGTGCATTCAGGGAATCTTTTCACTCTTATTATTATCATTGTCTTTTGTCTTCTTGCCACCTTTAAAAATAGCAAAAATAGGAAGATGATCACTGATTTCATTTACTAGCAATCCACTGGTAATTTGTTTTTCCATGCAATTTGTAAATATATTATCAATTAATGTAGTGCTATATGTTGTTATTCTGCTAGGCTTTGTTATCAATGGGTGGAGACTCATAATATATACTGAAACAAACAATTCATCCGTCTTCTTATGCTCTCTGGGATTCAGCAAGTCGATTTCACCACAAATAAAAGTATCTTTTTTTTTGCACAATTGCAAAAAAGTTCCTCCATAATCTCTTTAAACTTGTCAATGTTAGAATTTAGTGCTCTGTATATACAGCTAACTATTATATTTTTCACATTTTCCCCTAATAATTTCAATAGTAACACATTCCATTCTATTCTCAACTGCTATTGTCGTTCTTTCTGCCACCTTAAACTTCAGATTTTCATCCACATACATTGCAACTCCTCCTCCATTTTTATTTACCTATTTTTGCAAACCATTTTGTATCCTTGCTTATTAAAATCCACATCTTTCTCTTCTTTAATCCAAGTTTCAGAAATGGCTATTACTTCAAATACTTTATTGAAACCCCTTAGGCAGTTCTGAATATTCAGAAAATTAGCGTACAAACTTCTACTGTAAAAGTGGATTATTGACATACATCGTTCAAACTTATTTAGTACATTTAACTGCTCCTCAGTGTAATATTGACAACTGTTATTCAAAGTATTAAAGAAATTATTATCAGGACAAATTTCTTGACCCGGATCAAACATAATTGAGCACAACAACTGTCACTCATTAGTGGCACAGTAATATGTTTTTTCTTATTAATCTTGTCCTATGTATTTGTCGAGTTCCTCCATACTTTTTATTACAGAACATTGGCTTCTTCAGGTGTACCATTAAGACTATTGTAGACTTTACAGTTTGTTGTCCATGTAGCTAAGATTTTCTTCTGCCTTTGAAGAAATTGGGCTTTTTTTGTAGCTATTTCTGCATTATGTTTTGTCAGATGTTCATTTATGTCTACTTCTGTTTCTTTTAGTTTAGGTCGATGTCTCAATAATGCAATCTTGCATTTCCTATTTGTAAACTTAATGATTATATTTGGAGGTTCGTCTGTCTTTTTGCTGAATGGAGAATGACAAGCGTCAGTATCATCCATTTTTACTTCTATTACCTTGGAAAGGAAGAAGGTGATGATTTGCTTTTCCACTGATTGCATCTCTGTGTCCATGGGCGTAATTTTCGGGGGGGGGGGGGGGGGGGCAGGGGGGACATGTCCCCCTAACTTTTTCCAAAGTCAAGTTTGGACCCCTGTACTTTTTACCATCCAAAAACAATATTACGCTACATTAAACTGACACTGGTTGAGCTCTAGGACCAAGCAGAAAACAACCGTTTGTGTTGAAGCCTGAGTCCCATTAGAACATACTGTAAAGACACCCCCCCCCCCGTGTCCCCCCCACCTCTCAAGTGAAAATTACATCCATGTCTGTGTCATTATTCTGCTCATCATTTCTTTTTGACACAGCTTGCGCATAAGACCTATAGGCTTTATTTTGAACCCTGAGACAATAACCTCATTCAGTCTAGAGATGGGAATACACTTACTCAATGAAGATGGAGTAGTGGATCATAATCTCTGGCTACAGTTTGCATTAATCACTTCACCATAGGTAAGGGTTTACTAAAGGCTTTTTATGGTGTTTTATTGAACAGTTATTTAGAAATGCAGCTACAAAAACAGCAGGTAAACAGTTTGATACTGTTTTCACGTGTCCTCACTGCAAATAGCTTTTAGAGTGCTAATGTTTTTAGCAGATAGCTCAGTGTTTAATGTGGCGTTAATACCTTAATAAATTCAAACAATTGTACAAGAAATTTGGACTTAAAAAGACATAAAATGTTAGTTAGCATTAGATCTTAGCACGTACTCACCATTAGCATTAGCTATCATTGCGAGGTAATTGTGTAATTAAAATGGCATCTCACGAGCATTAACAAGACAACGTCATTTCAATCTTCTCCGGATCCATAAATTGTTACCCAACATGAAATAAAATAGTTGTAGGCTTTCAGACTCATAAAGGCTTTTGATTTGCATTGTAATATGAGATTTGCCACACGAGATAGTTTGTTGTGTCGATCGCATCAGTGTTGGGTAAATCCTCCAGCGTTTATGAAAAGTCAGACTTTTAAAATAATATGAGTCATAACCTAAAGGAAGATGCAATTGTTTTTGTAATATCGCGTCTGTCCCAGCTCGTTTAGTACACTCACTCTCATTCGTCCCACTGTGTTTTATAGTAAAGCAAAACACTTCCTGTCCACTTTTTGAGTTCAGCGCGACGGCAGGGTCACGTGAGTGGAACCCTGCAATCATCACTTTAGATTAGCACGTGAGACTTCAGTCACCGCTAGGCTAACGTTTACCATGACCACTGCAGAGCCAGGAGATGTACATTTGACATCAACTTCAAAGAGAAAGTGCTGGAAACAAAAAGAGAGCGAAACTGCCAGAAGGAGGGAGAAAAGGGTTAGCACAGAGTTGGACACAAAACTGAATAAACTAACCTAGTGTTTTATAGGTTCAAATAGACACAAAATCTTGGTTTTATTCATTCTACTGGTAATTTATTTTGCTCAAATTGAAACTGAGGCATGCCTCTAATTCTGGCCTCCTTCCAATAAAGACCGGAACCAGGGTGTGCTTGAGCAAATAAAGACCCAGGCCTGTATTAGAGGATTTACGGTATGTCATTATTTATCTATTTAATACCTTTAACTTGGTTGTTTCACATTTCCTGCTGTCACAACCTGCCTCTCAACCTGTCTGCTCCCCACAAGGTGGGGAAATCCCAGCTCTCTGATTGGCTACCACCATCTCCATGTTTTTGCTGTGTTTGTATTCTGTGAGAATTTCTGCTGCAAGTGGCAGGGACTATAAAAGTAAAAACAAAAAATCAACCGCTGACTTTCTTGGGTTAAAGTCACAGACAGTGCT